TGAGTCATTTGCTTTAGATCTTTAGATCTTTTATAACGTTTGGCTTCTATGCCCAGTTATGTCTAGAGTAGTTGTACTCATTTTTTATCAATACAAATTTATTTATCGATAAAAAAAGGGGGGCATTTGGAAGAACTGATTATGAAGCCATACATTTCACTAGCAGCCCATGCTACTAGCATTCTCCTAGCTTGTTGATTTTTGGTTGTTGATTATGCATGTCAATCTTGAAAATCCACTATAGAATTTTGTTGATGATAAAATAATAAAATTTCTGAAAAAGAGAGTAGAATTGCTCTTTGAAAAAGAGGAGGAAATTGTAAATGGAAGATGGATTGCTATGGTTCATTGTTGTACTCTCTCACTAACTTGTGAATTTGAGCAGTGAAAATTTTGATAATATTTATGAGTATTTCGAAAGATATGGAAATTCTTGAACCCATAAAATTAAACAATTTACGTGGAGTGAAAAATAAAATTTTAATGATTTGAAAATATAAGTGAGACATATAAAAAATTTGAATTTAATTTGTAAAAAACAAAAATAGTTTGGATATTAAATTTGCAATTATTTCTTTTTAATTTTGACACTTTTTTTTTTTTTTTTTTTTTTGCTGACAAATTTGACATATCTTGAAATTTCCAATTAGTAGAATATATAACTCCAGAAAACATATTTGCTATTAATCCATCTTAATTTCAGAAAGTCAATCATTGGCATTTATTAATATCTACAAGATCTTAATTTCAAAGGTTTTCAGTATTTCATTGTGTTTGTCATGCTTTGTTAATTTCCAAAGCACAAACATTGTAGACGTGTACAATTTTTTTTTTGAAAATAAAATTACAGAACTGCAAGTAGTCTAAATTATGTCAGAATTTCAAATAATTAGGCCATGTTTTTTTGCCATCATTTATGTGAAAAATGGAAAATGAATTCCACTTTTCCACTTTTATCATATTTGATGGCAATTTTTTCTATTTCCTCCCCTCACGCGTCTATTTTCCTTTTTTTGGAGGGATTACAATTCTTATGAATATGGTGAGAATTGGTTTATTAGGAAACAAATTTTCTTTTTTCAATGAAAACAAATTTTATCCTTAATTGTAAAAAAACATTTCCTTAAATTGACAATTTTCGTGAAAAATAAAGTCAAGCGAACACAAAAATACACTTTTATTTCAACATTTTCCAATTCAAAAATCATACAAATCTAACACAATAATTGAAAATTCCCAATAAAACAATTTCAAAACAATTTAATTCACTAGAATTCATTTTCTTTCCATTCAAATTCTATTTTTGCAATCAAACAAATCTTTAATTCATTATAATCCTTATAATAATTGTGAACATATAATTACATGTATCATTAGGCCATCTCTAACGTTGAACCAAATTTTACATCATTCTACACCAAACTAAAATTCATCTCCAACAATTACACCAAATAAGCAGTGTTTAATCATTTTCATTCCTTTTTTATTTTTTATAATTTATTTATTTAATTATTTTATAAATATATAAATTACTAAATAATTAATTAAAAATTAAATTCATTAATAAATATAAAAAATATAATACAATTAATAAAAATACTACAACAACAAAAATATTAAATCATGTCATCAAAAAATAGTTCAAATGCATTTCAAATTTGAATAAACGATATTATAAAGTCTCAAAATATTAAATCATGTATCGTTTTGTTTGAATAAAATTAAATTATCGTATGTACGTCGTTGTTTAATATATTTCGTGTTAATTTTAATAAATAATCGTGTTTGTTATATTTTAAATTTTTTTAATTAAATTATTATTATTTATATTTTAAAATATATAGCAAATTTATTTGATAAGGAATAAAAAGGGACAAGAGAGACTTTATACCGGTGCGAAGTGATCCATTTTGCATCAAAGCATAGTGTTGCATTGAAACATCTTTGTACAAATAATGATGCAATTTGACGTTAGCGTTGGCATTGCCATTAGATCCCTCCACTAAAATTTGGATAGGTCAATAATAAATAAAATAAAATAAGCCGGCCATTTGGCTACAATTATTTATTTTTCTGATAGCATAGAACATAAAAGATAATATGAATATAATATTATGTAAATTACTCTACTAATGTGAAAATTGAAAAAAACAAAAAACAAAAAACAAAAAAACAAAAATGTTGAAAACCAGACCTAGATTTGCGAAAAACATTTAAAATTAAACTCAAGCACAAAATCGAATGCCAGATAATCATTAACTGAAGTAAAGATTATAATTTTAGATGTATGTTGGTTAACTTTGAAAATTTTCAAATAGAATACAAATTCATCAAAGAAAAATATTTTAGATGAAAAAAAGAGCTGAGAAATTGAAAACAAAAGGAGAAGGCGCTCAGAGTAGATAAAGAATGGATTGAAGATTTCCTCAGTAACAATCAGTTTAACGAGATTATTTGATTACTCATCACCGCACCTTCTCTTTCAATTGCATCCATATTCAATCTGCAGTGTGTGTGTGAGGATGTGTTGAGAGGGAGTGTTGGTTTATTTACAGATCGGCGCAGCGAAAGTTAGGGTTTCGTTCTTCGTTGCATATGTACTATTTATAGAGGAGATTACAAAGAGTAACGACTTGAAATGGCGAAATTATCCCTACATTCACCTTCTAGTCCCCGTTTGTTTCTATTTTTTGGCAAAAAAATAAAAAATATGAATATTACCAATCACATTAGATCACTGTATTTAACTTCATATCTCTTGTACCGATCGAGTAACGACTACATTATTCATTTTTCAAATGGGGTGCTACTTTCATTTAAGGGTACCATTGCAATGAAGGTCCTCAAATTTTCTTAGTTTTGCATTTATATCTTTTAACTTTTTTCATTGAATTCTTATCTTTAACATTCAATTAATTAACACATTTTATGATAGTTTTTGTCCATATATTTTGTTGTTGTGGAAAAAATATTTTGTCGATTTTTTATATTCATTGTTTTTTTTTTAAATTTAAAAACATGATGTGCAAATAAGTTTTTACTTTCTTAATGGATTTTGTGGACATCATCAAAGATAACATATACTAAGGGGGTGTTTGACAGTCAATTTTATGTAAAAATACATTTTAGAATAGTAAATTGATGTGAAATATGTGGTTGAAAAATAAGAAAAAAATTTATTTGCGTATAATATTATTTTAATAAAAAATGTGTGATTGAAAAGAAGAGAGAGAAAAATATATTTTGAAAAAAAATGACTATCAAACGGAGACTAATTAAATAAGATTTAGAATAGAAATATGATGAAAAAGTTGAAGACGTAAAGTAAGAAGGCGAACAAAAATTAAATATCTTCATTACAATTAAATTGTGATGTATTTAACCAAACATGTAGTACAAATATAATTACCTATAATTTGTAGTAAATTGATTGAATAGGAATAGACTAGATTCTACAAAAGTGAAAATTTAAGAATGGAGCCAATGATAAAATAAAAAGACAATATTGTATATGTTGACATCCAAACTCCGACCTAGTAAAAACAGTTCGCTAACCCTACCTCAATTAAACGTAAGTTCGGCCCATACTCCCAAGTCGGAGTTACCCGACGTTATCTTAGAAAAATATCATGATTATCCCTTGTCACAATACTCTATCAATCAGATACACTTGCCACAGGTGACGTCATCGTCGCCAGGAACAACCAATTCCAAATTCTCGAACTCCAGCCTCTTGCAGGTCATCATTATCTGGGTAACACATTGACACATGACCACCAACCTCATCGACCAATCACAGGAGAATTCGGCGACCCGAGTTCCGAGCTCGGCACTGTTACTGATTTGATTGATTTGATGTAATTTCGGTTGGAATTATGTATAAATAGTTGAATAAGACTCTTGTAAAAGACAAGTGAATTCATATAACGACTTATGACATAATCACACAAAAATGACATTTTTGTGGTCTTTTTCAAGCATAAATCGCTTTTTTTTAAAGTTGGTTCAAAATTATCCTTACTAATTTTGACGTCAACAGTTTGGCGCCAGAAGGAGGGCCCCTAATTGTGAAAAATAATCTCATTCAAAAATTTCAAGAGCCATGAGTCATAGCTCAAGTTTCAGAAATTCACCTTATACCCACCATCATGAAATGAATATACCACTGAGTTCTCCACAACGACAGGACCCTCAAATGATCGCAATGAGGGAAGCCCTGGAAAAATTGACAAATGCAGTGGGACGACTGGAAAGGAGCCAAGCCCATTCATCCTCACCAAATACCGAGGTGGAATCCCCTGTAAGGACAAAGGCAAGGCGTCCCCCCACAGGTTGACTCTTCACTTTTCAAGAGGAGAATCATTAAGAAGTCAAACCGACTAGGCCAAAAGCAAGGAACCCGAGGCAAGAAGGACTGCATGTGTGTTCGACAGATTGGGGACCCATCACTCGCTGACTCCTACGCAAGGACAAACCGACCTAAAACGTCCTTTGGAACAAACAGAACCCGAACTGAGCGCGCTTAAAAAACGCATCATCGTACTGGAGGCTAAAAACAAAGGTGGCACTGAAGGTTACCAAACCAAACGACATTCCCCCTTCACTAAGAATGTCTTTATGGAACCAGTACCTGAAAAACTGAAAATTCCTTAGATCGCCGCATACGAATGGGATGGTGATCCTCTCAGCCACCTTGACAAATACACCTCGTGGATGGAACTACAGGGGACAAGTAACGCAATCATGTGCCGGGCATTTCCCCTAACTCTGGGAGACAAAGCCCAAAGATGGTTTAAAAGACTACACGAGAGATCAATAAAAGATTGGAATGATCTAGCAACGACATTCTTGGCCCAGTTCATGGGCTCCAAGACCAGAACCACACCCAAAGAACGTCTAGTGAGCATCAAGCAAGGAAGAAGTGAATCCCTCAAAAGCTATTGAGCAGGTTCAACAAGCAATCCATGGAAGTGGAAAAAATATCTGACGATGCGGTACTCATGGCCGTATTAGCAGGACTAAGACTCAAAACGAGATTCTGGTGGCCAATACATGAGGACAGGCCAAGGACTTATCACGAGTTTCTGAACCGAGTTGAGAAATACATAAGCGCTGAGGAAGCAACCTCTGACCAAGAGGAAGTAGGATACGAAATTGACCTCAGTGATACAGTGAAAGAAAAAAAACCAAGCCGCAGTCCCCAGCTCGAAAGAAAGAAGGACAAGAGAGAAAGAGAACATCCTAGGGCTCATGCATACAAGTTCTGGGAGTACCAACCACTCAAAGCCTCCTTGGAAGAGGTATTCACGCAAGCCAATATGAAAGAGGCATTTCGCAGATCTATAATCCTAAATGACAGACAGGCAGGACAACGCCAGGGACGATACTGTCGATACCACAGGACGATGGGCCATGACACTGATAATTGCCGGGACTTAAAAGAGGAAGTTGAATCCTTAATTCGAAGAGGTCGATTACAGGAGTTTGTTTCCAAGCTAAAAGAAGCAGATCGACCTACAACGCGGCAGCCACTGCTACAGGGGGCTCCCACACGAGCCCAGCAGGCAATCCCTAACCGTAACCCACCCTCACATGCCAAAATCAAAATGATGGTGGTCAAAAATCAGTATATTGAAGGATCCAGAAGGGCCAGGTTAAGGCAAGCCCGAAGTGCAAAAATCGTGCCAAACTACTGGAATCTAACCCCTAAGACCGGCATAGACCTTGAATCGTTCTGGTTCACGGAAGAAGATTCTGAAGGAATCCTTCAAGACCAGAGTGATGCCCTGGTGGTCACAATGATGGTTGCCGGAGTAAAAGTCCATCGTACTCTACTGGACAATGGAAGTTCGGTCAACATACTGTATTCACGAACATTGAGGCAGTTGGAAACATCAATTCGCTACCTCCAACCGTATCCAAGGAAGCTACAGGGATTTTCTCGGGATCCTATCGAAGCCCTAGGTCAGATCTTCCTTATCATGGAGCTAGGCGAAGCTCCTCACCAAAGAAGAATCCTAGTGGATTTTGTGGTGGTCGATTTGCCGTCCAATTACAATGCAATATTGGGACGGCCCATTTTGCACGAACTAAAGGCTGCCACGTCAATTTATCATTATTGCGTGATATTCTCCACTCCTTACGGGATTGGAATTATCCAAGGAGATCAAGCTACTGCAATGGCCTGCAACATCGACCTGCCAAGGCCACAAGTCAACATGCTAAAGAGTAGGACGAACACACAAGCCGAGGAAGCCAGACCAAAGAGACCAATCATTGCGAATCTGTCGGAGATCGGCATAACGGAAAAAAATCTAAAAGAAAGTCACAGATGAGCAACTGTCCTTTGATGAGTAGTAGGCGGACCCACATCCTTCCACGGAGTTATGGTAATCTTGTTGCTTGTGGCCGGGGTAACCATCCCCAAAGTCTTGGTGGATACAGGAAGCGCTCTGAACATCTTATTCAACAACACCCTTAAATGGATGGGTATCCCTACTAACTTCCTTTGACCATACCCAAATATGGTCATAGGATTAAGCGGAGCCTTGACTTCTGCCAAAGGATCAATCAAACTCAAAGTTGAATCTGGATCAGCACCTCGGCAGGTGAAGACGAACTCCAAGTTCGTGGTGTTCGACACCCCCTTCCCTTATGACGATGTGATGGAACAACCCCTACTCTTCAGCATGAGAGCAGCAGTTTCCCTATATCACTATTCTATCAAGTTCCCCACATGCCATGGTGTGGGAGAAGTTAAAGGAAACAAGGAGTTCACTGAAAGATGTCAATGGAAAACTTGTGCTAGCCATCAACGCAGCTCCCCGGGAGTACATATGGCAAATATATGGGAATCCGAACTCATTCCCTTAGACCCACGGACCAGGATTGAAGGCGGAGAACCCGTTGAAGAACTAGAAGGAGTTCGAATCTGTGCCAATGACCAAACAAATGAGCTCAAAGTCGGGTGCGAGCTGCAACCCTCCACCCTGAGCAAGATTGTGGCTTTCCTTAAACAGAACCTTGATGTCTTCGCCTAGGATCACAGTGACATGAGAGGAATAGATCTCAGTATTGCTTGCCACAAATTACAGGTGGATCCTTCAGTTCGGCCAAAGCAGTAAAAACGTCGACCTCTGAACTCTGAAAGATATGAAGCACTCAACAAAAACGTGCAAAAGCTGTTGAACAACGGTTTCCTCTGTGAAGCGAAATACCCGAAGTGGGTCGCGAATTCGGTCATTGTGAAAAAGCACAACGGAGATTGGAAGGTATGCATAGATTTCACCGATCTCAACAAAACATGCCCCAAAGACAACTTTCCATTGTTGAGAATAGATCAAATGGTGGACGCCATTACCGGACACGAGCTAATCAACTTCATGGATGCATATTCTGGATACAATCAGATACCGATGTACGGCCTGAATCAGGAACATACCTCATTTGCAACTGACCGAAGTCTTTACTATAACTGACTGAGGTCTTTACTACTACAGAGTAATGTCATTCGATCTCAAAAATGCTGGCACAACCTACCAACGACTTGTGAATTCCATGTTTTCTCAGTAGATCGGAAAGACAATTGAAGTGTATGTTGATGATATGCTGGTCAAAAGCATCAAGGCCAAGGACCACTGTCAGCACCTAACCGAAATGTTTGATATACTGAGGAAGATTCCTAGGTTACATTGTAAACAATCGAGGAATCGAGGCAAAACCTGAAAAAATACAAGCTGTCATCTAAATGAAGCCTCCAATCAAACCCAGAGAGGTACAAAGTTTAACCGGAAGGATTGCCGCTCTCAGTCGGTTCGTTTCCAAATCTACGGACTGCTGTAAACCTTTCTTCGACACGTTACGAGGAGAAAAGAAGTTTGAATGGACCAAAGAATGCCAGGACGCCTTTAACGAGCTAAAGAGACAACTAGCCTGACCTCCGTTGCTTTCAAAACCTAAGGCAGACGAGGCCCTGAAGCTATATTTATCTGTTTCAGAGCATGCCATTAGTGCCGTTCTAACACAAGAAGAAAATGGCGTTCAACATCCGGTTTATTACATAAGAAAAGTGCTTCATGAAGCTAAGCTCAGATATTCGCTTGTAGAGAAACTGGCATTCACCCTGCTGATGGCAGTGCAAAAACTGAGGCCATATTTCTTGGAACACCCCATTGAGGTCCTTACCAACTCTCCATTAAGGCAAACGCTACAAAGGCCCCGACACCTCTGGACGGATGGTAAAATGGGCAGTAGAACTCGGACAATTGGACATCAAATACACGTCTCGTTCCTCCATAAAGGGCCAAGCACTCATCGACTTTGTCTCTGAGTTCCTAATTGAAGAACAATAGAAAGAAACCCCTTGGAAACTTTATGTCGACGATTCATCCACCAGAGAAGCCCTGATCACCGCATATTCTGCGAAGCCTTGCCATTTGACTTTAAAGCCTTAAATAATGAGGCTGAGTACGAAGCTCTCATTGCTGGAGCAAGGATGGACTCAGGGTTAGGGATCTCCGACCTAATCCTACACTGCGACTCCCAACTAGTCGTGAATCAGGTCAACGGTGTATATATGGTGAAAGAAGACAGGATGGACAACTACCTACGAGTTGTGAAAAAAGAACTTGGAAGGATCAACACCACCCAAGTCAAACGAATTCCCCGATCTCAAACAGTCACGCCGATACATTGGCCCGCCTAGCCACCAGCGAGGGAATCGAGGAGTTCGATAGCATCCCTGTGGAAAGAATATCCCTACCGTCCACCGAGCTGGATAAAGTGGTCCTTATGATGATAGACCCCAAACCAACTTGGCAGGACGAGATCATCGCTTACCTGAAAATCAAAAAATATCCCGAAAACTCTGCAGAGGCTAGAAAGCTCCGAACAAGGTCGGCCAGGTACACTTTCATTGATAATATACTATACAAACAAGGATATTCTACTCCCTTGTTAAGGTGTTTGAATGAAGAAGAAGCTCAGCACGCCCTGCAGGACATTCACGAAGGAATATCTGGAAACCATCCCGGTGGACTCTCACTAGCCCACAAGATCATATGATAAGGATACATTTGGCCTGCAATAAGACGAGATTCCCTTGAATTTGTCAAAAGATGTGACAAGTGCCAGCGCCTCGCCGCCATCATAAATACTTCACCACGCGAACTGAACCCAGTAACAGCACCTTGGCCCTTTACAAAATGGGGGGTCGACCTAATTGGACTCATGCCCATTGGAAAAGGTGGGGTAAAATTCGCCATCGTCGCAATGGATTACTTCACTAAATGGGCCGAGGCAGAGCCCCTTGCCACCATCATCGAACAAAAAACAACCAACTTTTTTGTGGAAATCAGTGATCTACAAGTTCGGCATACCTCACTCTATTATTACGGATAATGAAAAACAGTTCCACAATGCACGACTTTTGGATTTCTGTGAAGAGTTCAGCATCAAGAAACATTTCTCATCACTGAACCATCCACAAGCAAATGTCCAAGTCGAACCCATTAACAAGATTATTAAGCACACATTGAAAGTAAAACTCGACTTGTTTAAAGGAGGATGGGCCGAAGAACTCTCCAGTGTGCTATGGTCTTATCGCACTACTGCAAGGATGAGTACGGGAGAAACCCCGTTCACACTGGCTTTCAGCATAGAGGCCTTGATCCCACTGGAAATCAACATTCCCTCGCTGCGCATAACTGATTACGACGAAGAAAGGAACCACATAGGTCTTCGCACGGAACTCAACCTAACCGAGGAGAAAAGGAACAACACTGAACTCAAGAATGTCGTTTACAAATAGCGGAACACCAAATACTACAATCAAAAAGTGCGAAAAAGAGAATTTGAGGTAAGATCCCTCGTCTTATGAAAGGTATTTCTCCCCACAAGAGAGATCGGCAGTGGATGCCTAGGTCCGAATTGGGAAGGTCCCTATCTGATAACGAAGGTCCTGCTAAAAGGGGCATATGAACTGAAAGACTTGGGGGTTAGACCCTTACCCCATCCTTGGAATGCCGAACACCTTAAGCAGTACTATCAATGAACAGAAAAAGCCCATATAAAGCCCCCTTGTAATGTCAATCACATCAATAAAAAGGGACTTCCTATTTTTTAACATTTTACTCAGCGATCTGTCAGAATCTTATAAAGCTTTGCTCTATACGCAGGCCGATCTAAGGTCGTATGTGCTGCAACACTTTGTGAAAAATTCCTCCTAAGGAATCTGATAAAGCCCTGCTCCATAGGCAGGCTGATCTAAGGTTGTATGTGCTGCGACACTTAGTGGAAAATTCCTCCTAAGAAATCTTATAAAGCCCTGCTTCATATGCAGGCTGATCTAAGGTCGTATGTACTGCGACACTTAATGAAAAAATCCTCCTAAGGAATCTTATAAAGCCTTGCTCCATACGGAGGCCGATCTAAGGTCGTATATGCTGCGACACTTAGCGAAAAATTCCTCCCAAGGAATCTTATAAAGCCATGCTCTACACGCAGGACGAGCTAAAGCCGTACGTGGTACTACACTTAGTAAAAAAGCCCAATGCATAAGCCTGATTTGGAAAGCAGGTACTACACAACTAAGTAAAATTCATTCAAGGTAATTCTACATGCTATTGTAACGCTCTTACAAATTTGGCAAAGTTTGTGAGGTATTGTCAAAAAAGACAAAATAAAAGAAACCGTACGAGCATATACAATTATCCATTCCAAACAAAATGTTATAAAAAGTCAAAAAAAAGTTCACTCATAAGCCAAGAACATATTGCAAAACTAAATACCAAAAACAATGTTTTTAATCGCCTAGAGGTCTTGAGGGGCTGGGATATTATTTTCAACATCCTGGGCTGCCGGTAATACCCGGACTCCAGCAGACTCAGACAACCTCCACAGCTCCTCCTTCTGCCCCTCCAGCGCCTCATCCAGAAAGGCCACATCAAAATCATGCCTCTCCTTCCTGATGTGCCCCACCAACTCCTCTAGTGCTACCACGTAGACATCCTGGGCTACGACGTCAAACTCGGAGGACTCCTTCCAGGCCTCCACCGCTCAGTCAACCTTGTCCTCAGCCTCTTCAACCCTTTTAGTGGCCTGCCTTACCCTTTCGTTGGCCTCTTGTACCTTCTAGATGGCCTCTCTGACTTTGCCACGCTCCTCTTCTGCCCGAGCTCTGGCCTCTTCCTCCGAGGCCCTCAATGCCTTGATCTCCCCCATCAATCTCTCATTGACATCGAGCCTGGAGTTCAGTTCGATCCCCATCTGATTCAGCTTCTCTTTATACTCCTTATCCCTCAGAGCGAACTGGACCCTTTCAATCTCCATGCTGTTATAAAGATTGAAGGCCTGATCCTTTGCCTCTATGAGTTTGTCCAGCTCGGACTTCACCAGTTTTTCAAAAATCAAAAATCAAGTAAGTCATTAAAACAGTTATAAAATTGATCAAAAATCAAGTAAGAGGTATACCTTATCTGCCACTGCCATCATCTATAAAACTGATTGGTGACCATAGAGTTGAGCAGTGACCAAGGCCTCACCAATGGGCATCTCATTTAGATAGCCCTGCTCTCTCTCACCCCAGCTCCGAGTAATCAGATTGACCGACTTCTTCAAAGGTAAAGTGAGCACGGCAGTCATTCCCCTGGAAGGAGAAGAGCTTGGAGATAATCTAAAAATATTTCTGGTCTGTGTCCCACCAAACTTTCCCAGCTCGGCCTCTGTAAATCTGGGCACCGATCCTGTAAGTTTACAGAATTGGTCCCGACAGCAGAAGAGGCAGCTGGGGAAGGCAAAGGAGGAAACGACAGGGTAGGGCTCAGTAAAAGCACTGCCTCAGGAATTCTCAGTGCTGTCGGGGGCGCAGATCGGTTCCTCTTCAATGGAACCTCCTCCTCCACCTCTTCAGAACAGCTCTCTAACCGTTCTGATACTTCTATCTTCTTTCCTTTAGCCGTAGCAGTAGCCTTTGCAGCCTTGTAGCCCCGTATCTCGTCCTGATGATCTGAGAAAGCAGTGAACCGCTCAATAAATATGTAAATACATAAAGAAATCACAATCGCGAATGAGGGTCAAAATATTACCTAAACTGGATGGAGCCGAACTTGAAGCTCGTACTTGCAACAAATCGGCCCGGTATAAGTTCGAATTTGAGATCACAAATTCACAGGACCTTTAGTTTTTAGGTAATGATCTTATTACCTCATCTCGTCTCTGTGTATCTTTGGTTAACGTCTCCTTCTTGTAATCTGCACAAAGGAAAAAATACCGAGGTCAGTATTTCGTCAACATCACCTTGCTAAAAGACTAAAGCCCAAAAAGACACTTACATAACGAATGATAGAGCCCAAAAACCACGTCCTCCCTATTCATCTCGACAGAATGAAACTGCCACTCCCCTGATACATAGAACCACTCTTCCTTCCATTTCTTAATTAAGGAAGGGGTCTCTAACACCAGAGAACCTCCCGTCCTAGGCCTAACGCTTGTGTACCACCAACCCAAGTTCTTCCCATCCTCCTTAAAAGTAAACAGAGAATCGAACTGCTGGACACTTAGCTTGGGATTCTCCATTTGGTTCCACAGAATAAGGGTGGCTATTAAGGTTCGCCACCTGTTAGGGAATAGCTGCGTGGGAGCTATGCCCCAGGAAGAAAGGAATTTATGAATTGCCCTAGGAAAGGGAAGCCTAAGATCGGCCTGAAAGATAGCCAAGTTCAGAGCAACACATCCCTCAAGAGGAGTGTCAGCCCGGTCAGATGGTTCTGATATTATCATCACTACCAAACTAGGGACGGCGTATTTAGCTTGCCAGCTGGCTAACACATCCCCTGTCACAACCGACCTATAAGAACTCACACCCTACTCCCCAGAATTACTCTACTCAACATCCTTACTGGATCTACCGGCTCCCTTGGAACCCTCACATCCTAAGTCCATCACAAGATGCTCTAAGTCGATCGGGTTAATTATGGAAATAGGAACAGGGATAAAAACTTCCCTACAACTAGAAGACGAACTCGTCGAAAAGGAGACTGACTCTTCCTGCTGGTTGCCCCAGGAATGAACTCTAGACTCGTCTGAACTCATGTATAAACTAGGAAACAAAGCACAAACTGAAAGGAGGAAGCAGATAAGAACAGAAGAATACCTGGGAAACGAACTGGAAAAATGACCTCACTCAAATACGAACTCAGTTGCCCAAATTTTGAGAAAGTAAAACCAGCAAAATAGGAGGAGAAATGACTGACCAAAAAGGAATTTAAAGAAAGAGAAGCTGAGAGGGCGCGATTTGAACCGTTCATCCAGAAATATAGGGAAAAAATCAACGGCTCAAAAGCTTGAGAGACAAAACGACGTAGTTTTAACCAAACTTGCTGAAGAAGCTACTTATAAATGGCGTACAGCTCATCCACCTTAAAAGATGACACTTGTCACAGCAATAAATGTACTTCTTGGAGAAAGCGTCACTGAGAGCAGCCCCCCTACCATAGAACTGACCTGGGGGGGTAAATATTGACATCCGAACTCCGACCTAGTAAAAACAGTTCGCTAACCCCACCTCAGTTAAACGTAAGTTCGGCCCATACTCCCAGGTCGGAGTTATCCACCGTTATCTTAGAAAAATATCATAATTACCCCTTGTCACATCACCCTATCAATCAGATACACTTGCCACAGGTGATGTCATCGTCACCTGGAACAACCAATTCCAAGTCCTCGAACTCTAGCCCCTCACAGGTCATTATTACCTGGGTAACACATTGACACATGACCACCGACCTAATCGACCAATCACAGGAGAATTCGACGATCTGAGTTCCGAGCTCGACACTGTTGCTGATTTGACTGATTTGATGTAAATTTCGGTTGGAACTATGTATAAATAGTTGAATAAGACTCTTGTAAAAGACAAGTGAATTCATATAACAACTTATGGCATAATCACACAAAAATGACATTTTTGTTGTCTTTTTCAAGAATAAATCGCCTTTTTTCTTAAAGTTGGTTCAAAAATATCATTGGTAATTTTGACGTCAACAGTATACATTCCTGAGTTTTATGGATAAATCAGACTCTTATATTTCTAGTTCTGAACATCCCATGCACCCTTGACTACATTTTGAGTCACATCATCTAGAATGATGTCAATATAACCCCCATTTGGCCCCTATTAATTTGTATTATAATGGGAGGAATGGCTTCTTCTTTTTTTCTTTTTTTTTTTTTTAAGAAAAATGGATGATTGTAAAAGAATGAAAAGTTTTCAATTTATGTATACTATTATTTATTGAAAATTATGTGGTTGAAAATAGAAGAGCGAAAAATTTAATATGATGAGATTTAATGGGGGTCAAACAGGGGTTTAAAATTCTCTTCTGAGGAAAAATAAGAAATTCTTTACACGTAATTTCAATTTCATTTGTTCTTATAATAATAAATTAATATTTAAAGACTTTGTACGTACTTAATTTTGAATATACATACTATTGGAAATTTAAACCTAAATTTTATTGAATAACTTGATTTGTATCTCATATGTAATTATATATATTATGAATACATAATTTAAGTAAGTTCATATACAAATATATTAATAAATACTCATATTTATAATTTATGTATGAAATCAAGATGTTAAATACAAAAATGTACTTTTGAAAATTCAAGTAACATTTAGGATATAGTTCATTAAAATATATACATCTAAAAAATTTATTATTAAATTATTATCATGTTTATTTAATAGAATGTCATGTTAATACGATAAACTAGCATTGCAATATTCAAAATAATAGCATAATATCCTTTTTAATCTTTTGATATGTGTACTTATAAATAACGATTTTATTATATCAAATACTTCATCTAAAAGTACAGGGAAAAAAACACCACTTATAAAAATAAGTAAATTTATATGATTAAAAATTAAACTCAAGCTTTGTATATAAACACGTCAATACATATTCTTGTAGTCTAGTTTGAGAAAATTAACTGCAATTAAGGGTAAAAAATTTGATCATTTAAGGTATATCAATCTCATATAATTGACCTAAAAAACGAAATTATTTTTTAAAGCCAATAACAGGATTTTTGTCTAAAATTTGGTAGGGTTTCGCCACCTTTTAAGGAAATTTTGGATGCGTTTTTTGTGGAGAAGAAAGCCTATATGTTTTCTTGTGTTATGTTGGCTGAACAATGTACTTCAATTGGTCAATGCTAACATTTTCCAGAGCGCTAACCTCAAGTTTTGCCTTGACCCAAAACTATTTTTTGATAGTGGAAAATGGATATTAAGAGGGTGTTGGAGACCCATTTTTACGTAAAAATGTATTTTAGAATAATAAATGGATGTGAAATGTGTGATTGAAAAATAATGAATTTTTTTATTTACGTGTAATATTATTTTAATAAAGAATGCGTAATTGAAAAGAAGAGAGGGAAAAATGCATTTTGAAAAAATAGTACCAAACGGGGCCTTAACTATGTCAATCTTTAAAACTTGTTCAACTTCCATTTTATTCTCTCTTTCCAAAATCCCTTCTTGGGTGTAAATGACCCTATTCATAGATGATTTTTGGACCTTCGATCATTTATGAGTTGACTCTCTACTATTATGTTGAAAGTCATGAGCAAGTCTAAGTTCCAATATTCTTATTGAGGTATATTTTTCAATGACATTTGTCATGCAATTTCTCATGTATATGCAGGGGCGAACCAGGGGACGGGGGGTCCTATAGGGTGACGTGACCCTCTAGTTTGTGTTAATTTTTTTTTTAAAATCAAAATCGAAGCCCTAAATTGTGGGAAAACCAACAGATTGGCAAAAAGTAAACTCTACACTCCGTCTCTCTCTCCCACTCCGGCACTCCCACAGCCACAACCACAAGCAGCACACCAACATTGCTTTTGCGAGACTGCACGCAGCGACTGCACTCCGTGACTGTGAGTTCGTGTCCGTCTGTAGTCTGCTCTCTCACACTTTAGCACAGACAGTAGTGAACACCAAATTTCTGCTCATCTCTCACTGCGAGAAGCTTCACCTCTTGGCTCGACCACCATCTGCCACTTTCTTCAAATTGTAAGTCTTTGTTATGTTAAAATCAATTTCCATCTTTAATTATATATTTGCATCGACGTTTATGTTGGGATCCTTGTCAAATTAAACCCTGATTTCATCTTCTTTTTACCTATTTATTAATACTTTTATAAAATTTTAAAGATGTCTTTATAATTTGCGCATTCGAGTAGAGCGATTGATTCTCTGTGTTTACGACGAAAATTAGTTTAGAGTACAACATGAGCAGCACTACTATTACAGATGCACAGTCCCGCACTCGGCCAGCAGATTCCAACTCTGTCTCTCTCTTGTTCCAGACTTCGGACTTCCAGACCTAAGACCCCTGTTGCAAGCTTGTCGAGTGTCGACTATCTGCCACTCCATTGGCCACTGCTTTAGCCTTTGGAGTAACTTCCCTACCTATTCGATAATAATTTTTCTGAAATGAATAATAGCTTCCGCCGGCTCAATAAATTTAATACTTTGTTTTGTTTGATTACACGACTGCACAAGCCACAAGGGAAAAATAAATAATAGCTTTCGCCGTCTGCCATCTTCTTGAATCTTGAAGTTGAAGGTGTGTCCATTCTATTTGCATTCCTGATTGAGATTGTGATTGGCTGAGTTAGTGATTTGTTATTAATTGTTTTTTCTAATTTTTGATTTAGTTTCCATGTAAGTTGTAACTGTGTTTTCGATTTAGGGATTTTTTGATTTAGGAATTTAGGGATTTTTGATTTAGGGCTTTCTTATTTATTTGTGAATTGACTTAGGAAGAGTGAAACTTTGTTTGAATTTTGTTAAGTATGATTGAGATTCTTAGAAGAAGAAACTGATTTAGGGATTTTTTTTGATTTAGGAATTTAGGGATTTTTCGATTTAGGGCTTTCTTATTTATATGTGAATTGATTTAGGAAGAGTGAAACTTTGTTTGAATTTTGATAGGTATGATTTAGATTCTTAGAAGAAGAAACTGATTTAGGGATTTCTAATGTTGTCGATTTTTTGTTTGTATCAGTCATGGAGAAATACTTTAAACGTAAATCTATGTCTTCCTGTGATGAGCAAAATGTCAGTGAAAGGAACGATCGAGAGAAAAGGGATCAAAATAATGTTAATGTTAATGTTAATGTTGATGTTGATGTTGATGTTGGGGATGTTGATGTTGGAGATGTTGGGGGTATTGGAGATGTTGGGGATGTTGGGAACGTTGGTGGTATTGGAGATATTGGGGATGTTGATGTTGCACAGCTTCCCTCAGATCCTGGATTAAGAGTTTCAATACAGAATTATGATATTAACGTTCGAGACGTGATTCAAAGAGCATATGTGCAAAGGGGTCTTTGTCAGTCTCGCAATCATGCGTTTCCACCCACAAGAATGGGTAACAAAGACAAGTGATTTTGTATTTCGTGGTATAATGAGTATCCTACTTAGTTGGAATATAGTATAGCAAAAGATGCAGTTTTTTGCTTTTACTGCTATCTTTTCAGTTTGAGTGGTGGTTCATTTGTTAAAGAAGAATTTTCAAATTGGAAAAAGAAAGAATATATTAGAAAACATGTTGGGGCTTCATGTAGTGCACACAATCAAGTTCGGGTTAAATATAAATTGTTCAAGAATAAAAAACAAAGTATTTGAACCTATCTCATTAAGCAATTGCTTCAAGCTCGAACAGATTATCGAATTCGATTGAATGCGTCAATTGATTGTGTTAGATTTCTTGTACGACAAAGGCTGGGATTTCGTGGACATGATGAATCTGAATATTCAAACAATCAAGGAAACTTTCTTGAACTATTGCATTGGTTGTGCAATCATAAATGCTAAGATTAAGGTCGTTGCTTTGACAAATGAACCCGAGAATTGCAAATTAACATCACTGAGAGTGCAAAAAGATATTGTAAGTGCTATTGCTTATGAATGTCCACGTGTGATTATCAAAGATGTTCGTGATAGTTTCTTCTCAATTTTAGTTGATGAATCTTGAGACGTTTTAGTGAAGGAGCAAATGTCAGTTGTCATTCGTTATGTGAAGAATGGGTGTGTATTGAAACATTTTATTGGTGTCATTCATGTTTCAAGTACCATAGCTCCTCACTTAAAGCTGCAATTGATCAATTATTTTCAACACATAGCTTAAGCATATCTAATTTGAGAGGTCAGAGATATGATAGAGCTAGTAACATGCAAGGTGAGTATAATGGCCTCAAAGCACTATTTTGAAAGAAAACTCAAGTGCTTACTACATTCATTGTTTTGCTCATCAACTTCAACTAGCACTTGTAGCTGTGGCCCAGAAACATCCAAAGATTGAAATGTTATTCACTACAATACACAAATTAGTGAATAATGTTAGGGGATCAGCTAAATAGAGTAATCTTATTCGAGAGAACGAAAGATTGAAAATTTTTGAATCACTCAGTGTTGGTGAAATATCAAGCGAACGGGGTCTCAATTAAGAAATTACACTTCAGCGTCCTGTGATACACGTTAGAACTCTCACTATAGTTGTTTGATTAACTTAATTGTCATGTTTCCAACCATAGTCGACGTTATTGAGAGGATAGCTTCTGACACTACAAGTACTGGAACAAGATGTGATGCATGTATTTCATTGGAGATGATGTTAAGATTTGAATTTGCATTTAATCTACATCTCATAAAAATGATTTTAGAGATTTCAAATGAATTGTCTAAAGCTTTACAAAGAAAAGATTGGGATATTGTCAATAGTATGAGATTTGTGTAAATATGTAAAGCTCAGCTCCAAACCATAAGGGATGATGGATGAGATTCTTTTTTTGGACTGGGTTGTTCGTTCTGTGAAACTCATAATATCAATGTTCCCAATATGGATTATATGTTCATAAATCTAGGTCGTTCACAGCGTGAGACAGTGACAAATTTGCATCATTTTCGGGTAGAAATGTTTTATGCCATCATTGATATGCAATTTCAAGAGTTTAATGATCATTTTTCTGAGGTGAACATTGGCTTGCTCTTTTATGTTGCGTGTTTGTCTCCAAATAACATTTACTGCTTTTGACAAGACAAAAGTGTTGCGACTATGTCAGTATTATCCAATAGATTTTGATGCAGTAGATATCTTCGAACTTGATGATCAATTAGATACATATATTCTTCATATGCGCACTTTCGAAGATTTTGAAGGATTACAAGGTATTAGTGATCTTACATAGAAGTTGGTTGCGAACAATAAACATAAGGTGTATCCATTAGTCTACAAGCTTGTGACATTAGCTTTAGTTCTTACCGTGGCTACTGCTACAGTTGAGAGAGCATTTTCTGCGATGCCTTATGTCAAAAATCGTCTATACAATCGAATCGGAGATCAATGGTTAAATGATAGTTTGATTGCTTATATTGAGCAAGATATTTTTTATAAGATTGAAAATGATGTAATTGTAGACTGTTATCAAAGTATGAGAACATGTTGACAACAATTGTAAGAAGATATCTCGTACTTTAAATTTTTCGTCACTTTTTTGGAAAGTTTGATTGTGACCCCCTGGTTCGAAATGTCTGCGTCCGCCCCTGTGTATATGCTTGTTTTTCAATACTAATATTTATGTTGATGGCGCCATAATTTTTCTCTAAAATGACATCCATGCTTCCAGTTTGTCCTTTACTTCCACAGTTTTGGACGAGGCTTTTGAAAATTTACTTGCCCAATGCTTGTGGTCCATGTTGTAACTCCCGAAATCTATTTCATTTTTATTATTTTATTTATTTGTCACAAAAATAGACTTGAAGTGTTACCAAAAAAATCTTATTTATCTAATTTAAGCGGAAATTTCACTTTTGTTCAACATTTGAAATTTGATCGATAATTCGATAATGATTAACCAACAATTTAAGTGAAAATTTTCATATTAAATAAAAAAATCTTGAAACACTACAATTTCAAACCATCAATTTAAATTTAACAAAGAACGTCAAATGCTTGAACACTAAAAAATTATTAAATAACGTGTATAAAATCATTTCTAAAAATTTCACTTAGCGACCGCATAAACATCATTCGATCAATCTTCCATGCATCCACATAACTTGTTCTAATCTAAAAAGTTATTGTAAAATTGAGTATTTTGAAAAAAAAAAAAAACACATAGTAAAAATTCATGCATATTCTTATTTAATATGATATAAATATAAAATGACCTAACATACCGATATTTCTAGATTTAGAGCAAATTGGTCGCGATATCCAATAGTTCAAAAAATTTCTTAAGAATTTTTATACCCCGTAGGATTTAATATTTGACCTAACGATATATCTCGAAAGATTTAATATAGAAATCGACTCAAAGGCCTTATAATAATTCATGCCAAAATTTATATAAACATCAAGAAATAAGAATTTACCACATTTGCACTATGTACTCTTATCTCAATTGACACTAGAGAAATTCTGAAAATAGCTTGTAAAATAAAATGATATTCCTCTTAATAAAGGAGTGTGTGTAGATGTGTTAAATACCAATTTCTGTGTGGGTAAAGGAAAACTTCTCACTTCAATACACATGTTTGGGAATACACTGATTATGTGTATATTATATTCACAAAAGCATACCGTTTATTTGCGTGAAATTGAAACGTAATTTTGACTTACCGAAATAGAATTTGAGAAGCAAAACAATAATAGTTATCGAATCCAAATGCATGAATATGGATCTCCTTCGTTTCTTGAACGAAAGCAAGTTATTCTTTGAATCAAACATTGCAGAACAAACATGTAAATAATGTTAATCAGTTTTTGAAATCGAACCATAATTAAGAGAAATCAGAAAATGAAGAAAGAAAGATGCAAGTGATGAATTTTTGGTCGAGGCAAGTGTTTGACACTTTGTCCTTAAGATGAATTTGCCCTGCATCAGTGCTAGCAGTTTTTCGGCAATCATCTCCTGAGATACAACGACTACGTCAAGCCATAAGAGCACTCCAAATGATTTTGACCAGCGAACTCGAACGAAATTTTCTCTCTACCATAAACATGACTTTGATTCAAAACATAATCATTTCTACAAAATATTTTAAGTAACTTGACATGAAATGAATAATATGGAGTTATAGAATGAATTGAGATTCCTGAATGATTAAATCCAAACATATGGGGTCAATATATAGATGTTGAAAATGTTTGTCTCAAAAGACACAACCTATGTAAGAGACACAACTATTGGAATTAGTATCTATATATAAAGAGACACGTCTCTTGAAAAATGATAATGTCAAAAGTCATAATCTTTCATATAGAAAGATACCTTTTCAGCCAAATAATTTCTATAATATTCCATAATATTTTATGTACTTTTCCAATAATTCACGTATTTAAGTGATTTAAATTTAGCTTAATTTTTCATTCACCAAATAATACAAAATTTCCAGCAAAATTTCAACAATCCCCCACATGAATGAAAATTAATGCAAATATCTATGCAGACACTAATAGAAAGAGTGAAAAACTCTGCATCAGGGATGGTTGCTTCTGGCCTCGAACCTCCCTTAGTGAAATATCATCGGACTTACTCGGCTAATTGGTGAACGTGATGTTTTGAACCATTCAGCCTTTAGTGTAAGCAAAGACAACAATACTCACACAATATTTTCCCTAAACCATTCATGGTTCTCATAATTTGGTTCATTTTGGCCCTGAACCCTTCTTGGTTCTGCGAGTATTTAGAGAATTTAAGAATTGAATAATTCTCATTGAAGCGACCCCACTTCACAATCATATAGGTGACCTTCTATTAAGAGTATTTTGCCCACTCCACTTGACTTAATCAAGATATAGAAATCATTAAAAGATTATCTTAATCTCTTGCAACTCTGCAGAAAGCACTTTAATATCATATGAATGAGTTAAGAAATTATTTTCCTTAGTGCTTCATGGAATTCTCATAACTTAGTTGTCCCTTTGAACCAAGATCTTAGGATCTCCAGTCAACAAAGTAAGGTTACCATTACAAGGACTCTAACTTAGTAGGCTTCAATCTCATTCCTTTCAATATGCAGTATACTTAATCTCTCGGTAAATCTCTTAAAGGTACCACGAGTTTACACTACTGAGATCATCTGCTTAATGGTATTATGTCTATGACTTATACGTCTAGACCTACCATTACATGTGACTTAATATCTTATCAAATATTGTTAGCCAATTGATTCATTTGATAGATACAAATTGTCCCCACCAAGAAATCATCTCATGAAACTATATGCCTCATTCGCTTTATCTAAAACTTTATCAATTTTCAAACACGGTTGAAGGATTTCTATCAAACACTACATTAGTTAATCACTTTTACTAGTGGATTTCAGAATCAAGGGTATTCAATATCATCATTGAAACATTACTGTGCATTTGAACTTTATGAATATTCTTCATATATTCTAAATGTTATTGCTTGTCTAAACAAACGCCATAATCAGCTTTTCAACCTATTTTATCCACTTTAGACTTAGTATATATCATCCTTATAATTAGTATAAGGGTTTTCTATCTTTCCACCTTCATAAATATCGTTCTGTGATTATAAGATAAAAGCAAACGTAACAGTTAAACTGAGTTACTCCCACAATTCCTCAAGTACGAATACTATGCAATCTAGTAATGTTGCATCCACAAGTTTTTAACTTTCCATTTCAAGTTCACAAGCATTAAGTTTAACCCCCACATTCTTTGGTTATACTTAAACTTAGAGTTTATCAACTATTTCATAGTTCAATTCATAGTATCCGTATCGAGTGCTTTGTGAAAGTCTATGTACTTTCAAAGTAGTGATCGTCAACTTGCATATAACGTACTTCAATCTAATTAACTTTGATCATCCAAATTAAATCAAAGCCATCATATAGACCAACAATGCTTTCAAAATATATACCAACTTAATTGGTTTCATGATTGATGTCAAATTCAACAATAAAAAGAGCTAAGCATTGCAACTTCTTCAAATATATGTAACTTATCATATTTGTGACATTTCACATGATAGTGTCATTTTATAAGGTACATATTCACCTTATTCACCATATTCAATTTTGAATGAACGAATCAACCATATGTTGAAAAGTTGTATTCTCAAGAGACATAACCCTACAAAAGGACACATCTCTTGAATTAATCTCTATGAAGAGACATACCCATTGGAAAATACTCATACCAAAAGTCATGATTATTCATATGAAAGGACGCACCCTTTCATCTAAATTGATCGTAAAATATTTTTCATATTTTACACAATTTTCTACAATTTCAAATAATTAAGTGGCTTAATTCTCATTACTAAATAATGATATCCACTTAAATCATCTCACTTAATTTTATCAAATTAATTTAGGCTATCATTATAGTCAAAGTTAGTATAATTTCAATAAGATATGAAATTTTAACCAACTAATTTACCATACCGTTATCATATTCCAATCAAAGGAATCGTCATGAAAATTCATATACTTTCATCAAATAGTACTCCTTCCACAATTTTGCATGCATAATGTCAATTAAAATGTACTAAAGAACCAAAACAAATTAAAATAAAATATGTCATTTGGTTTATGCCTTTCCCATGTTTTCATACATGCCATTACTATGGTTAACCAAATTCTCATGATTCCTTTCACTATTTCTAGCGAACAACTTTCCTATAAAGGAAATGGAAAAATCTAGAAATGATATAACATGAGTATAAATCCACATTTAATCTGATTTTTTAATTGTGTTCATGTAATATATCAAATGCATAACAAATTAATCATTAAACAATCATCAAGCCGAGTAGATCTCGTTTCTATCACAATTGCATGGAACCATATGCACCTTTTCAAAATAAGCCAACTATCTTGGACAGACACATGCTGAGTCTTGGACAGATACATGCTGGGTTAGCCATGTAGTATCGGTTGAAACCATAAATGATACTTTTTTGTCATATACAAACAGATGGATGGCATTATCTCACAGTTTTATAATAACCGTCAATCAACTAAACAGTCAAATATATACACAGTTAAATATATATTAATGCGGATTCACGGAATGCAACTTCTGTGTCATGATAGTATTTCCACAAAATACAAGAATCGCCTTTGAAGACCAAAATGAACAGAAGAAGTGTATATGCATTTGACATTTATTTATTCACAACCATTCTAATCAATTGAAATTTATGACATTCAAGGGATCTGCTTTTATGCAGCCCATATTTAATATCATCCAACATGCTTCGCAATGACCAAACATCTTTAATTTCATGCAAGTTTTGGCACAAAATAAATGGATACACCCATTGTATTAAAATTATGCTAGAAAATAAATTGCTAACATATGAAATTAGTATACAGTTAATTATTTTGGGGTCATCCAATGGTGACATAATTTCCAGATGTCCCATGGGTCGGCAGAAACTGATTATGGTATCCTTAAAAATGTTGCCGCTCTTTAATCCAGAAAATGCATGCAACTTGATAACATAATTTCAAAAGATCACACGGTTTTAGAAATTAATAAATTATCTTTAACCGTCATGCATTTCATGCAGAGGATTCAACAGAATGACAATTTTAATTCTTCCAAAGTTAAATCGTGTATAATTCGAGATTATTATGCACAACGAATACAAAAATTCATCTTAAGATTGTTT